CTAAAACTTTCATTTAAATCTTTATCTATATTTTAATTAGATAATATCATATAACTTATATCACAACGCGAGATTCTATCCCCACCCTGTACAGTTCTAGTAATATCACGCACGCTGCTTTCCCTATTTAATTCGTTATGCAAATGAACCCATCGTGCTAAAACTATTCCCTATTTTGATATTTCCGTTTATGTGTAACGCAAATAATACATGAGGTTGATCCTAATTGAAACTAACAGGGAGCACTGTTCTCTATCACGCTAGTATGTCTAAATAAATTAAACGGCGGTACAGAGCTGGACCAAATATAAATATAGTATAACGTGACATAATGATAAAACGTAATTTAAATATAACTCATATTGTTATGGAAGAAGTAAGGTAAAATAGAAATATATTCACTGACTATTTATAAATAATTTATAAATAATGAAATAATATAAAAGATAAAACATTTATATTGTCTCAATTGTCTTTAATTGTATCATCGGACCATTTATATTATTAATTTCCATTACGTAAGCTAAATGATCTCCCTCAAAAATATTTTAATCTCAATTACAGTTTTAAAATTATCTTAGTTAACCAAGAATTTATTTGTACAGTTATTTTGGAATTTTACTTGTCTGATACATAGAATGTGCTCTCTCTCGTTATGGGGAAAGTGTCAGGTATATTTAGCGGTAAATCATGGACCTCTGGCATTCCTCTCCCTTCTTTTAAATAACTACAGAGAGTTTATAGGATGGGACCAAGATAGTCACCCCAAAATATCCACGTTTAGAAATAAATATCAAGTATGTTTTGTGACTTAAAAACATCCAGTAAACAAATACTAACCATTTATTGAGACAACTAGTGCGTGGAACCTTTATTCTTGGATTAATATGTGACGGGAAAATCAAAGAAAAAGAAATAGAAAAAGAAGGACAAATAATGACGCTATTAAAGAAAAAGAAAATAAAATAACAGATTACCAGCGCAATTCGCGTAGAGGAAAAGTTTTAATCAGCAATCAACCAAAATCTTCTCCAACTCAAACGAGACAACGATAGCGATATCCTAACATTTAATGTATTGATCAACCGAGAAGCAATAAATAGAGGCAGAGCGAGGGGTGTCGTGAGCCTGATTAAACTTCATTCTCCGCTAATGGTTTATAAATAGGCATCTTTTTTTTTCTTTGCCTTCCATGCGGTCACGACGGACGGGAGAAGTGCTCCTGGAACGAGCGTCCTTCCATTCCGCTGTCCTGCCTCTTCGCCTACACCTCGCCTGCCGACCTCGTCGACATTTTCCGATATTTCCTCGCCGATTTTTCTAACGCGCGGCGCCGGCATCGGCGACGTGTTTTCGCAGGAAATTGCGTATCAACACTTTTAATGGCGGTTGTTATTTGATGCTCTTGAATACGGAGATTTTAAATGATCGATGGTAAAAGCGATGATGATGATGATGATGATGATGATGATGATGATGATGATCCGATATACATTTAAATTAAAGCGATCGAAATAAGTGCACGCACTTTCTATGGTCTTTAATTGTAGTTATCCAATTCCGTGAAAAAAAAAAATTTATTATGGATACCGTGTGATCGACATTTTACAAATATTTCCTTTCAGGAAAGGATCACAAAAGGATTATTTTTTATTTTCTACCATGCAAACTGCTAGCAAAATGGCATCACCATATATGAAACTGAGATTAACTGAATAAAATGCAAATATGCAAATGCCATATAATTGCATCAAGCATCATGCGAAACAAGCTTCAAACATTGTCCATCTCTCCACCAAAAATATCTATTGTTCTCTTATGAAAACCATAAAATTCATACATACAGCGATTATTATATTTCAAAATATAGAGATATTATTTTAAATACTATTATGAAAATATCAACAATTCAATAAATACAATACTTTAAATTCAAAGAATGTCAACATGTCGTGTTAAATAAAGTAAAATTCTCTCTTTCTCTTCTTCCTTCCAGAAATAGTTTATTTACTATTTGAAATCGATCTATTTAATTAAATTAATTATTAAATTCAATCATTTATTATTCACAAAAATTAATATCATTCGTCAGCATTTCTACAATGAACTATGAACTTTGAAATGTCACGGAGTAGTGCACACGTGCACATAGAGATTCTTCTTTTCTGTCCCGCACGCGGGCCCCGCAAATAGCCATACGTAGGGGCGTAGGTCGGATCGATCGCGGGGTAAAAGTGAAAGGATGCCCCAAGGGGGTGACCGAGAGGACTATGAAATCGTTCATCAAGTCGGTCAATTTAAGAGAGAAAAAGAGAGAAACAAAGAAACAGAGAGAGAGAGAGAATCAAGGATTGTTGGTTGGAAAAGAAATGGCGTGCCCAACAAAATCGAGTCCCGGAAGACCGATCCGTATCATGTTGAAGATGAAACAGACATTTCATTCCCTAGATATGTAACCGAGATACATATATCTCTTCTAACCAAGTGGAGCCAAGAGACAATTTTACTTTCCTATATATCCAATTATCATTTGTCTAGAAAATACCTAATATAATCTCTTTTTTTATTTAATCAATAAACGTCTAATTGTATCTCTGTTTTCTACATTTTTCGGGAAATATAGCTGCATAAAAATATCCGATATATACTATAATTAAATCTACACTCTAAAAAGAACGAATAGATTTAAAGATAAAATCTTAAAAAAATACGGAACAAATATAATTATTTAAAGAATTATATATTTTTCAATTCAAAAAGAAATGTATGACATACTAATTGTCATATATACTAATTATAAGTAATAAAAGACCTAAAAAAATAGGGAAGTTCTCATCATGTTTGTGGTGACGTATTAATTTACATATACACACTTTACATGTCCATCTCATATATTGTATAACTAAATGTGTTCAAATAAAAAAGTCATATAGTTACGTCAATGTGACTCTCCAAAGGACAAAATACAATTTTGTTATAGCAACTTTTTTTATCTTTTTATTTTTATATCTCTTGCTAACATATATTAAACTTTATTACATAACAAAAAGTATAAAATTAAGATAATTATTAATATTACTATACTCTTGTCAGTCAAATCCTAGTTAAATTGGCGACTAATAGTTATTTCTATAAAAATTCTATCGAACATTATTTATAAGATCATGAAAAGCATATTCCATGTAAAGAGGATTGGTACGTAAAGGATGAAGGCAAAATTTTGGATTTTCTCGCGAGAGATCACGTGCGGTTCGTACCTTCGCGACAATCTAGTGGATCTCGGCGAAGGATGACGGCTTATATCTCGACTGCGTCATTTCAGTGGATTCGATTTCGTCGGTAAATCCAACCAGATGATATCGAGACACAAGGGAAATGGATGAAAATGTTATGTCAAACTAGGGGGAAAAACGTCGCCCCGACAGTCAAACAAATTCTCGACCTAAACATCGTCATCATGTATTTATTTCATGTATGTATGTATGTATATAGGTCAATATGTCAGTGTCACAAAGGACATTTAGAGCACGTTTTTAATAGGAGACAAATGAAAGAGAGAGAAAAAAGGATATAATTATCATATATATTTAACAAAATTGAATTCAATCCCATGCGTCATATCTTCAATACAATATTTTCAATACAATATCATATGTTTCAATACAATATTTTACAAATATGTTTTTTCTGTAATCATTAATTAAAACAAATTGACAAATTGACATTTATGAAATTTAAAAATAAAATTTAATTAAATTTAATATTAAAAAAAATGTTATTTAAAAGAATTACTCCTCTTCAAACATGTAAGTCAATCAGATAGATTCGAATGATTAAATTAATAAATATATAGTTAAATATAATATAACTTTACATACAGCAATCTAAATGTATATTGAAGTTAATAGATATATAGTTACGTGTATTAAAAAAAATATATATATATACATGCATGTATGACTAATTCATTCCATATATAATTAATGTAATTACGCGATGATATTAAAATTTTTTCTAAAATTTTATTTTATTCTGAAACATTTTTTTTTATAATAAAATTAATATTTTTTGACAATAAAATTAATATTTCATTTAAAATGTATATATTTTGCACGCTGCTGAAATGATACTTCACCTTGATAAGCTTTCAAAAGAGCTATGCGGTTATCACTTTCCAATCGGAATGATTGCGACCTACCATTGTATACCACACAACCGGGTCAGCTCTGTGATTTTTGACATATAGATGGATATAATCCGTTTAGCCATTTGGTCGATATGAGAGAGAGACACACATTATAGTTTCCTAGCATAAAATGTAAAGATTCAAAATGGTAACTTGGATCGTTCCGAAAATATTTGTCATATTTCTTATGATTTATATATTAAAATTTAATTAAGGGAAATGCCATCATATTATTTCACGGAAAAAAAAATTATATCATGTGCGTTATATTACGATCCTATCTAAATTATGTTTATGTTGGAATTCATTTTATAAAAGAAGCTTACTAAAAGAGAGACAGAAACATTTCTGAATCAATAAATTTGTTTGTAATTTTCGTAAACATGAAAATTAAACATGTAGATCATGTAATTTCAATTTATTGGTTTTCTTTTAATCATAATTTAGTTCAAAGAAGAATCATGCGTGCAACATTGCATCACTCTAATAAATTTTAATAATAAAAACATGAAAGCAAATGATATAATAAAAAAATGAAAAGATGTTGGTAATTTTTAAAAGCATAAGGTTAAGAATTTTTATTATTGTAACAAACAAATAAATTCAAAAGCTGTCATATTTTCATATAATGTGGAAACGAACAACTTAACCCCAATTATAATTTTCTTTATATATCAAAATGTAAATAAAATGAATTAGTATTTTCTCTCAAGAATAATAATATTAGCGAATTAAAAATTCATTATTCGCAAATGGCGTTCACAGGGAAGTTTTATTAAATTATTTCCTTTAATGAGACGGACGCATAGCTATGATGGTGCAAAAGTTTCCCGGTGCGAATCTTATTGGACAGATCCTAAGACAAATCACACAGCCATTATCAAAGGCGATAGTAAAACGTGTGAAGAAACGGCCGCTTATAAGAAAATATGTACTGATGCAACTGGGACATTTTTATTATTTGTGCGAAAATTTAATAGAGTGGCGACAGATTTCAGTTATAACGAAAAAAAGACCCATTGACGACGATCGCACAATGGAAGTAGGAACGTCACTACTACTCGAGGTAAAGATAGCAATTATGATATTACTCGCATTGAAATGCTAATTTTTTTCGGTTGAATTTCACAAAATAAAATTCAAATTCATTCCCTCAGGCAATAATTTTTGGATTTTTGGGGGGCGTAGTTATATATGAGACACAAAAGGCTGCAGACAGAGCGTGTATCGCTGAGGAGCTGCAAATTCAGGAGTTCAATGACATAAAGGCGAAGAAAGATCGACTGATGCAGCAAGTCAAGGATCAAGTGATCTTAACAAAACGACTCAAAGAAATCATTGTAGAGTATTCGAGACAAGTCGGATGTACATTGCCGAGTGAGCCCGAGAAAAAAGGCGAATAGAATGCTCCATTTGATTTAAGGCAGACGCGAAGATTGCGAAAAGTCAGTCGCGAAAGAATTGTTAAAGGACATTTGTCGCGTCCTTAAAATATTGCATTTACGGCGGACAGGAAAGAAAAACTCTTTCTCTGTTCCCTGTCGTTGCAATTTCTTTCCACGGATAGAATTTTTGTCGCATTACGTTTTCAGTGAACCGCAAACGGACGAACGATCCTCATATGGAGCGCAGACCCTGCTAGCACACCAACGACAGTTCGAACTTTGTGCGAATATTCTTCCGTTTTCGCCTGTCTGTCGTTCCGGTTGACATTAGCATTCGTTAACATAATGAATGTTATTTCCCTGCGCGTTCTCGCTGCATGCCTGACTCACCGTGACGGATTTCACAGCGAGCGCTTGGATGAAATTTGACTTTCAGCATCAAAATCGACAAAGAAGGGAAAAATATCATTAGAAGCAGGCATTACGGAAAATGGGCGAATCACGTTGATTCGACAAGCAAAGAATAGATTATTGCATATCTAATTTCGTATTCACATCATAGAATATTGAATAATAATTTGGAGAGTTTACATAAATGATATTCTGAAAAATAGCAGAGATGTTGCACATTTCTATCCATGTAATAAAAATTTAATCGTAAAAATCGCAAAGATCGTGGTTAAATCATCACTGCAGGGAGCAAACCTCAGTGCAAACCAACTACAAATTCAGGAAGTCCAAACCGGAACTGGCAATGAAGTTTGCAATCTCTTACACAAATACATGCACGAGTAACGTTGTCTGTCTGTGTGTAATTAGTTCGTATAAGCACAAGATCGCTGGAGTTAAAACCGATTCGCGTGGAGGAATGTTTCCAGCAAGAGCCCGATTACAAATGTAGGTACTCTGCACTAGAGAAGCAGAACATTTTTACGATCTTCTTCCTTGGTTGTTTTTGAACTGAAAAGAAAAGATTTAGCGAAAAGGAAGAAAAAGTATATTTAAAATTTCGCTTGAAAACGCCGCTTGCAAGGCGAAGATTTATCTCATCCCTTCATATATGTCTTATACGATTCCAATTCAAAGAAAAAAAAAACATTTCTTTTAACACTCTAAATAATACATCTATATTTTAATATATTCATATCTTATTTGTATATACTTTATACGTCGCTTCAATATTTATATATCTCTCATTCGACATTTCGTGCTAAATCTAACGAACTTTTGTAAAATTTCTATGAAATATATACATATTTCTTTCTCTAAACAGAAGATATTATTGATTTATACTAACAGTTGATGGAAAAAGAGGATTATCCTGTATAATCTAAGTGTTATTCTATTTAAAGAAATCTTGAAAATGTTATACGGCGAAGAACGTGTCTGTTCTCGGTTTTCTTTTTGGAATTATATCATTTGAGAGACACACTGCCTTGGAACCGCTCCACATGGAATATTACAAGGAACAAGATAAACGTCATATGTACGCGAGAATCTTAGACACCTGCATGGAAGGAAACACCGATCGTATATCCGAGATCTCCAAGCATTTGAGAGTCTCTCGAGAGAACATTTCGAGTTCGGTTTGAGACAGACGTGAAATTCGATATTGATGCCTCCGTGACATCGCGATCGAGGAAACCCTTACGAGGGACTCGGTTCTTGCAAGATACACACCGATTCAAATCGGGTAACAAGAGAGCGACGATGCATCTTGTACTCTATTGGCGTACGATGAATAAAAATATTGACAGAATTCGAGAGATAAACTAGTGAGATCTTTCCGTAACTTCTGTATTTCCTGAGAGGTTAAATTTTCGAAATAACATGTTAGAATGAAATATGTAAAATAAAAAATGGTAATCACTCTCTATTTCATACTTCATTCCTGTATAATATTTATTTCTTTTTAAATTATAATTTATATTTCCGTTTAAAATTTTCTACTCGTATATCGTAATTAATTATAATATGTAATAATTAACATTGCGAAGAGAGATTTTCAATGAGAAAGTTAAAAATTATAGTTTTCTGAACTGTTCAATTAATCGCGAAAATTTCTTAAAGATTAATACTCAAGAATAATCTTGCTTACAACGCAATCTCGAATAATTTATTTGAGTCAAATAAATAATTCTGTCAGAATAAAAAGAATGAACAAGCTATCTTCTTATTCATGAGAAAAGAAATAATATCAGGGATAGCTATTACAACCGCGTGCGTGAATCACAGTCAGATATAAATCTTTGACGCTCATTTTGTAAGATGAAAACTTGGCGATAAGACAAATCATTTTGCTTTAGTTAATGAGACACTAATTTCCTACAAAATCATTCTTGTTATCTCTCTCATTGAAGAGAGAAGCATAGAAAATATTCTGAATTTAAAACTTAAGCGAATATTCACTCAATTGTCTCTTTCTTTATACATTAAAGTTCATTATTTTGTATATACAAATTATATATACTACATAAAATACATTAGTACTATATCGACAATTTTTCATTAATAAGACAGAAAAAATATATTATTATATATATTGAGGAACCTAAAAATTTAAATAAAGGTGCATTCTGTTTCACGCATGATGTGCACAATGCATCATTTATTCTTATTTTCGTGCGAAACGGAATGCATCCTTAAATACAAATCTAAAAATAATTTTGTTTAGCTCAACAAAATAATTCTGTAGGGTGTTCAAAATAGAGTAGCTAGAATGTTGAAATTTCTTGCAACAGTGTCATTAATGCTTAAGCGATATATATATATATAATTTTGATGGCCTAACAAAATTATTTTTAAATCTGTGTTTAGCTAAATTATTATTTTTTGAATACTTTAACAAAACTGTTCTATCTGTGTATGTAACTACATATTTATCTATAACCATTATTAAATAGAGACTTTATATCGTTTTTCAACATCAATTTCGTAATTTCATTCTGTTGAAATGAAAAAATTGTATAGACAAAAGCGTACAAAAATCAAAAATTACTATATATTGTCATACCACGTAATACAATATGTGATTGTTCTAAAGTACTGAATTATATTGCGAGTTATTTCCAGCGTCCTACTTCGACATTATAACATTCATCGATTTTCCCCATCAATTTACGTTCCAATGCAATTGATATCACTCAAAAACGCTCTACAAAAGACAAACTTTCAAAATTCATCGTTTTATATGCAATCAAAAAGCATCAAAGGTCATTTCAATTTACCACAATAAATTATAAATGCAATACTCGTACAGATAAATATCGAGAAATGCAACATTGAAGTAGAATACACGTTTTGCATAAAGTTGTTAAAAGTAATTTGCAGAGCTGCCTGATATATGAAGCAAATAAAAAATAAATAATAAAAGCTAGAAACAATCTTGCTGGAAAAACATTGAGTCTACCGTCTCCTCGAAACGGGAGAGGTAAATTAATATGAATATTAATCAGCTATCGTTAATTAAATTCTCAGGAAATAATAATACCTCTCTGCGGTTTATTTTGATCGTATTTGATCTTAAAGTGGTATATGTATATTATAAATATATTATATAAAATATTATATTTCCATACTCTCCAAAAAATTTCTCTTTTTAAAAAAAAATTAGTTTTATTCGAAACATACACACATACAACGGCTATTAATAGCCGATTGGTTTTCGTATTTTCACAACAAATTTTCGAACAAGATTGATCTCTTTTTTTCTGTGCAAGACATCTTGAATTAGGCCATAACCATTCGGGTCGATGAATTGATCTCTCTGACGTCATAACGAAATTTAATATTTACCACATATATAAAACTTAGAGATATATATAAACTTGTTTTAGCAAGAATAAATTTCTATATAGTATTTTTAATCACTCTTAGAAAAATATACCTAATAATAAAGAATAAAATGTACTTTAATAAAATATATTTTGTTCTATAATTCATTTTCAAACTTCTGATTCAAAGAACAATAGAAAATTGATATTTCAATTCTTATTATTGGATCATCTTTAATGTAATTTTTGAAAAAAATCAATTGTTCAAATTTAAATACTGACCGCTTACTATTTTATCAATATAATAAATATAGAACTTGTCTGTCGTATTTAATTGAATACTCGAATAAACGAATTACATTATTTGCAATATACAAACGTCTGTAATTTTATTTCATTTCGAAATATATGGTATTCTTGTACACCAATAACCTATATTGGCTCGCATTGGCTTTCTATTTTCCTACGATTTATTCTTTGGAGCCTTCAATCAAGATTGAGAATAGAAAATAAATTTTCATTTCTCTAATATTACTTAAATATCTGAAATGTTTAAAGCTGTACATTCTTTCCCAAGAAGTACAACATAATAAAATAATATTGAAGTACTGCTTTATAGTCACTCAATACGATCATAAATTAAAAAATGTTATATCCTTGACATAAAAAAACCTTCACCTTTGGAGTCACCTCCAAAATCGCAAATAGTCTTAAGTCTGCAGCACACGATGCATGTTTCCTTACTGGATTGCTTGCGTTTTAGTAATTTATTACAACTTCTGCGTTCTGTGTTTGCAATTCTAATAATTTACTAAAACGCAAGCAATCCAGGAGGAAGAAAGTATCGTGTGCCGTTGGTTTAGCCACTCTCATTTTCCATTTTACCTATATAATCAGGAAAAGCAATTTTTGGCCAAATATGTTACTCAAAAATGCATTGTTATTATATAAAACTTGTTAAATAATAAATTAAAAAATTAATTTTTTAAGTTATGCACTTACATTATTGTAGAACTGATTGAGTCGAATTTTTCGGTTACAATTGTCGCAATTTATGGAAAGGAAGACAGATATCGCGGTGACTAGCGACAATCAGCGATTACTTTAACCTCTGACCTTCCTTGTACGAGTCTACGGTCGGGTGAACAAACGGCAAGATTTATGTGCGGCGAAAACCATCGAGTGCAAAACCGACCCTTTGATCGTAGTATTGCCCTTGGACTAAGCAGTAAGGTATTTGAGCTA